ACCATTCGCCAAGGTTCAATCTCACTTGTTTGGCAATCCGTTGCTTCGGGAGCGATATCTATAGATTACAGCGGTAACGTGTTTCGTCTCATCCGTTGGTACTCAACGGCCTTCTCTTGTTGCGTTGCCATAGAAGTATCTACTCCAAACACGTTACAATATAATACCTCACATAGTCCGGCTTCACTATTATCTGGTTTGAAAATTTCAAAACAAATTCAATTTTAATTGGGCAAAATAAAAATAAATTCTAAAAAATTAGTACCCAAAATTATTTTTAATACATATATGATTGGTATTTTTCCCTTTATACAGTCAAGTCTCCTTTTGTGCGGTTTATTTTTATGTGGTTTTAAAATTATGTGATATGATACATATTTCAATTTTCCAGCATTTATGAGATGTAGTTGCACCACTGCCACATTCATTGTTCTTATGAATAAAGGCACACAATGACTAGTTACTCTCATGCATTTATTTTTCTCAGATCTTACATAAAACCAGTATATTACACATTAAAGATTGTAGTACACACTAAAGTCACTTTTCCACATATTTACCTCACAGCCTGAGACATTTATGCCAATGGTACACACAGTCCATTAACACTGTCTTGGAAGAACTGTGTGCCCATTGCCAGGAGTTTATGCTCTTGCTACTTCCATGATCTTAAAATCTGACTTGAACTGACAGCAACAAGATGCTGTTTCAGCAGCCCAAACAGTTGGCAGTCACTTGGTGCCAAACTGGTACTGTACAGCAGAAGGTGCAGAGCCTCAAAACTAAACTTTTGCTGGCAGTTCAGTGTTCATGAAAGTAATTTCCCAGTCTACCCTCATATCCAAGACATTCAAGTGAATCTGCTGTGACTTATGTTTCTAATATAACTTTCTAGGAACACAGACTAGAATCATTGTTCTGTTTCTGTGATTGACCTCTTTACTATGCATATCAGCCCATGAGCTCTCATGGTGCTGCTACCTTGACATGCCAGGAGGGCTTCCATTTCACACTTAACCTGAGAATGACAGCGCTGTGTGCAGTCACCCTTGCTGATAATGTAAAAGCATGTCAAACAGAAGGCTGCTGGCCATTTTGAGGGCAAAATAACAATCCAACCACCAAACTTACATGCTGTAGGCCAGTAATCAGCAGTCTAAAATTTAAATTTTATAAAAAAATGCTAAGTGCCAGACTGTTTCTGTGTTGTAAAGCTTTAAATGTAGATAGATTCTAAAGGGTTCTGATGATGGTGTATAACACTCAGAAATACTGGGTGTTTGTTTTAACATAGCCTGGTCTCAGGTATTTACGTAGCTATAGTTATTCAGACATGGGTTGTCCAGTGATTGAGGTTAGCTCTTTCAGTAAAAAAGTAAAGTAAAGCTATCCCTGTAACAGGCCATGAAGGCCCATAGGGTTGTGAGATGTTAAGGGTCCCACACTATCTAGACAATCGGCTCAGAGATGGTGGTAAGGTTGTCAGCCTTACGCGCCGGCCGCGCTCTACTCCCCAGGAAAATTATTTATTTAATTCCTGGTACTCATTTCTGTTAGAGGCTGAGTGGACCCCAGGGCCATAGTACTGCTGGAAGGATTAGGTCAACTGGAAAAAATCCAATGATCTCATCTGTATTTGAACCCGCGACCTTCTGACTTGTAGCATAGTGCCTTAACCACTACGCTACCGCGTGCCCCCTAGCTCTTTCAGCAGGACCCAAAAAAGTAGGTATCCCCCACTCACTTGAAGATGGTAACAAACCCAGTTTCTGAAATGCTGTGTTCTCTAGTTCTTAGAATACCCGATGATGGACAAAGTCCAAAAACCCAGTATTTCTTTAACTGCAGCCCACAGAAAGAAGCAAAAAAGGTCTTCATGTGACATATTTGTCACATTACACATTCACAAAAGGAAGTAAAACAAAACAGTAGGATGAAACAAGATACCTCTGTTTGTAAACATCTTGGACCACAAGAACCAATTTTGCAGGCAGACAATAAAATTAGTATTCATGTTCGTACTACATGCATATATTTTTACATTTTAATTCAGTTCTTTTGGTGTCATAACATAAATACTGCGACTTCCACTGACTCATGACAGTTGAGGTCATTTATGGTTACTTAATAAGAGCCAATTCATGCACTTTAATTAATGATGTTGCAATAATAACCCATTCATCATTTCATAACTTATTATGAGTACAGTATTTAAATACTGACCTGATGTTCCTTTGTGTAGGCTCCTGCTCTCATTTTTACTTGTCCTCATCACTGCACTTATAGTCCACTGGTGAACTGGGAATAGTAATCTTCATTGCATTGATACAAACTCTAAAATAAGAAGCTAAAGATTAAACAACAACTCACCAGAAGCAAACTTAACCCTCCTAAATTTGAATCTCATCTAACAAATTTTAGTACCTGTCATATTCACCATTACAATTTCAGAAATTATTGGGATATCAAGCAATCCAGTGTTACTCATTTAATATAAGAGATCAAATTAGACATGTAGTCTTACACGTTTTGGCCCTTTGTGGCCATTCTCAGAGGTGGTGCAATAAAAGGAAATTAGTTTTACAATTATTGTAGATCTTAAAATGTGCTTAAGAGTTGTGTATTGTAGAACTAAACACTATTGCAGCAAAGTACAATTTGTTAGAACTCCCTCGTATACAGCACACAAACACTACTGGACATTCTATCTTCTGTTTTTGCATCATTTTGAGCTATGAAAGTTATTGTTTATTAAAAATATCTATTATTATCTAGTTAGTTCTAGACCTGCTGTATGTAATTAGATTTACATTGGTGTATATTATTGGTGTATATTATCATCAAGCACGCTTGAAACATGCCTTCTATGCACGGTATGAAGAGAATTTCGGCAATTCGAAGTGTTCTACTCCAGTGAGTACTATGACAGTTCACACATTTTGATTTTCATCTTTAATGACCGATATCAGATTAGTTTTAGAATTCTTCAGTTCATCCTACTCATATTTACGTTTAAAAAAGGCGGTAGGCTTCACTTTTTAGTCAACAAGCTGTGTAATCAAATGTATTATAATTTTTGCTGGAATCATGAAACTAATTTCCAGAATTTCGTAACAATGCACAGTAGGCATCAGGGACACTGGAGTAATTACCAGGATACATAAATATGAACTAGCGATAGGTCTCTCTCCTGTCGCTCCTACTTTAGAGCATAGGGCAGATTTCTCAGTTTCATGACCATTTTTACAGACGGTAGGATTCTTTGGACGGGTGATCAGCTCGTCGCAAGGCCTCTACCTACACACAGGACAACATAAACACAAAATAAACGCATACACAAGCCAAACATCCATGCCTTGTGGGGGATTCTAACCCACGATCCCGGCTTCCGAAAGAGTGAAGACAGTACAAGCCTTAGACCGCTCGGCTACCGTGACCAGCGAACTAGCGAGAGGTTCTTCATATTTACTTTTCTTTTGCAACTTGTCTTCGATATCTGAACCACTTGCAGCTCGATCTGCTTCACTGTTTCTAGTAAAAATTGTGAAATCCGTCGAAGTCGTCCAAAAGGCACACGCCGATCGACGTACTTTGTTGCGCTGAGAATAAACAGCAATATCTACCTGGTGACTGATAATTATTTTCCCTAAACCGGCAAAGTTTGTCTTGAAAGAGTAATAGAGCAATGAATAAAGTTAATTATATTGTTATGACAGCGAGGGTGCTGTGAAATTGATAACTCTGCCATTATTCAATATTTTGCCAAGAGTCCCTTGAGGCTACTTTGCGGAACCAGAGGTTTCCGGGGAAGCAGCTCTAGCTTCAGAGAAAAGCACAAGGGAAATATTACTATGGGCTGGAATTGAATGGTCTGACTCATACTTATTTCTTGGAACAGAATATAGTGTAGCGCAGAAGATGGTTTTACGGGTAAGAAATTAATCTGATTTGGAAAAAAAAAAAATGTTGGCTGGATCAAAATGAATAAACGAAAACGTCACGAAACCATATTCTACAGCATCGTAACGGAACCAAAAGTAGAAGGAAAGAACAAAGGACACAGGCAATTCAAAACAAAGTAACTAGAAGAAAATTTCTAATCGTGAGGAGAGATAAACAGGAAATTCATAATACTACATAACCAGGAACTTCATGCCATTTTGTTTTGTGGACAGAAGATACAATGGAATGGGCAATTAGTTTTCATATGTGAGACAAGAAATGCTTGTATAATTTTATGGGGGAAAGGTTTTGGTAACAGGTTATGCAGAGGAGATGGAGGGGTAGCATTAACAGGGTTTTAATAAAAATAGGCAAATAAATCGTAAAAGTGGGAGGTGTAGGAGTGGCTCAGGGTCGCCTCCACTCACCCTTGGAATTATGAACTCGCCTTCATCAAGGACTGAAGCATGGATTACGAAGAGTCTTATATTAAAGCCCCTCTATATGTTTTATTGGTGTGTTCCTAGGTCACACACACACACATACGTACGTATTATATATAGACGTTAGTAGCATAGGGTTGGGGACCTAAAGGGACGATTGTCAGCACTACTTGCCGTTAGGTCTATGAGTATCATGCAACTGCATCACTGTTTTATCTGGCTCATATTCTGTGTTTTACGTTAAGTGTCTTACAGAACACCAACGCAGTAAAAGTAAAGTAAAGGTAACCCTGTAACAGGCCGTGGAGGCCCATAGGATTGTGAGATGTTGAGGTTCGCACATTTTCTAGACAATCGGCTTACAGATGGAAAGGTTGCAGCCCTACGTGCCGGCCGCCCTTTACCCCCAAGAATATTCCCGGTACTCATTTCTGTTAGAGGCTGAATCGACCCCAGGGCCATAGTGCGGCTGGAAGGATTAGGTAAATTGAAAAAAAAATCCTCCTCATTGGGATTCGATCCCGCGACCTTCCGACTTGTAGCATTGTGAATCAACCAACTACGCTACCTCGCGCGGTCTGTTGTGAGTATGGTAATGAACATTCGGGTTCCATACAAGCTGGGAAATATCTTCAGTAGCTTAACGACTATTAGCTTCTCAAGAAGGACTTTGCTCCATAATGGAGTTAGTTATAATATGTAAGAAGCTTTTCGCTGGAAGTACGGCTGCCTACAGATTCTGAAACATCACCGGCAAGAAGGAAGCACCCAGTGGTCAGGTATGCAATGAACTTGGGTAGCTTGGTAAGACAGTGGGTACACTGGCCTGGATTGTCTCTGAAGTTGACAGCGGTATCTTCACCAGCGAGGCGGCAGTGTGTCGTGAATACCTGTGAGGAACGGAAGTGTGGTGATATGGGCTCTGGTAATGCGATATATCGACTGTCTTCAAGAAGTAAATCACCGCCTTCTTCAGAATTTATGGGTTTCATTGGTGTCACGGTATGTACATAATGCTGCATGGGAAAAATACAATCTAACTACATTATAAACAGAAGGAAAATATTGAGATAATACTTTTTAGGGAGTGTTTTTAAAATTCAGCTAAGATACGCATAGATTACGTTTCATAATACATACATATGCATATAGATACGTGTGTGTACTATAATCATGAGGTAGCGTAGTTGGTTGAGGCACTATGCTACAAGCCGCAAGGTCGCGTGATCGAATCCCGATGAGGTCATTGGATTATTTTTTTCAATTTACCTAAGCCTTTCAACCGCACTATGGCCCTGGGGTCGACTCAGCCTCTAAAAGAAATGAGTACCAGGAATATTCTTAGGGGTAAGGGGCGGCTGGCGCATAAAGCTGACAACCTTACCGCCATCTATGAGCCGATTGTCTAGAAAATGTGGGACCCTCAACGTCTCACAACCCTATGGGCCTCCACGGCCGGTAACGGGGATAGCTCTACTTTATTTCTACTTTACTACAATCACGTGTATACGCTAGAATATATAGGGGCTGTTTACAATATTCTGAGTGTATCCCGAAAATCATATCTGTATGTACCATTCAATATAGTGACTGATTAAGCGCTAACTTCATTAATAATTTGTCTGCATGAATTTTCACGGGATGTTTACAATTAACGTTCTTGGATTTCATGAAGTTCAGGCTTCAAGTAGTTAGATGAAATGTCATTTCGGACAAAATCCACTACTGTCTCTAGGAAGGATTTTGCAATCAGAAAACTCAGCCTTATCATTTTCAACATCTGCCAATTTCTTGTTCTAACAGTAAAATAGCGATGAAAGTTGGTTTTAGGTATAGAGTGCGTGTGAACGGTTTGATCTATGAGGTGCATTCAGAAAGTCAGTTTCGGTTCAACTGAAAGAAAATAATGCTAAAAACAGGACGAAAATAGGTATTCAAATTTCAATAGTCTCAACCTCTCTGTACAAGAAAGCAGTCTTCCTGGATGTGGCACCGTGTAGATATTGTGTTAACCGACGTTTCGGAGGAACGTATCGCCTCCATCTTCAGGGTAGAAGAAAAAAGAAAAAATCCGTGAGCGAGGAACCAGCGGGAGCAGGTGCTAACAGATTTCTTTTTTCCTCTACCATGAAGATGGAGGCGATACGTTCCTCTGAAACGTCGGTTAACACAATATCTACACGGCACCACATCCAAGAAGACTGCTTTCTTCATAGTCACCGCCGTGAAAACCTCAAATCTTACTCTATATAATTTTAATACCTGTGAATCGAAATTTGTAGATATTTAATGGACTAACCATCAGTAAGGTGCTTTCTTTCCAAACTCATTAATGTCACTAGCGCAGTTTGTGATTGGTTAATACTGAATGACGAGCTTTCCGAATTTCTAGAAGTTATACAGAGCTAGGTCATATGAATACGGAAGATGGGGGAGCACTTTAACAATATTTTTTTACTGAAGAAGTACGATTCTAAATAAAAAGGTTGTTGCAGGAACACGATGGCTTCAATCTTCATTCTGTGCCTAGCGGTCGAGGCAAGCTGAGGCCCCAGAGAGGGAACTGGAATTTACAAAGATACAGTAGTCTCTAACGGCACTATCATGTTACCGAGTTCCATATTAATTCGTGAGTTGGTTTCGATCTTACTAAAGGAAACATATAACGGACGTAAATACATGCAGGAATACGATACAATGAGCCCATTCTTAGCGTAATTTCCTTCCTTAACGTAAAAGTAAGTTTATGAGATCACTATATTCCTTGTATACATAAATGTATCTGTCTCTATATGTTCCCCATACCAACTTCTGAACCAGCTGCCAATTTACACCAAACTTCCTATGAACGTTATACCATTGGGAGGCCGCTCTAATGTGATGCTTTTTTTATTTCCTGTGCAACATGGTGGAAGTGCGAGCTTGTGAGTTGGGGGCAACACTAGCGCCATCAGATTTAGAGTCCTAAAATAATGCATGGTAATTAATCTTTAAAAATACGCAAAATTTACAAGGTAATTTGTAGCAGAATGTAAAATAACAACATGGCCGCTCTAAGAAAATGATCTTTTGTTTTCGGTCTTAGGACGATAAGTAACGAACTGCTAGAACTGGATACGAAAAATTAAGTTCGGAGATTGATCATACGTACGTATATATGTATGTATGTGTGAAATATTGCTTGAAACTAAACAATTATAAGCATGGCCACAGTACAAATTTTTGAGGTTATATCTCGATACAACTAAAGTAGACCTAAGCCTTACTTGGGCAGTAAGCTGCTACTGAAAAACAATAATAATATTAGATCTGAAAGATTAAAAGCCTATACAATAGGACCCTAAGTTTTTAAGAATTTTGAAGAGTCCTATCTTCTGGAATATAACATAGTTTGGTCCGCTGAAAGTCAACCGAAGTTTCTGAGGAAAATATCGCCTCCGCCTTTGGGGTTGAAGAACAAGGAAAGCATGAAGCAAATGCCTCTTTTATTATGTGCTTCATGCTGGTTTCTTGCCTTGGTTATTCTTCAATCCTGAATATGGAAAAGACATACCTCCGAAACGTCGGTTAAGTTTCAACGGACTATAATGCGTTGGATCCTAGAAGACAGCATCCTTCATAATCACAGCTATAAGGATCTCGAATCCTACATTTATAAGTTCTGTTCGGTACACCTTATTTCCTTAATAGTTTAAAGAAAATTCTCTAAAATGGCTCATAATCGCTCATTTATACTCTCGAAGCTGACAATGAACTGTTCGAAATATGACGAAATTGTGAAATATCACGAAATTGTAGTTTTCTGTTGATGGGATCTAATAAACAGGGTTCGCTTAAACCGTAATTCCGATTTAAAATACATCATGTGAGGAGGATGACAAAACACATTATACGTGTATGTGACTTAGCGATTTCGGTCCGAACCCTTCAAGATACAAGTTTAAGGTTATAACATACATGCCTCTCATACACCCATATACAGTTCTACTTGGCATTCGGCCAAAAGTACATTGAACCAGGGCCATCCAATTAGTAGATACTTGAAGTACAAGTAGTGTTATTTCATTGATCGACCGCTCAGAGCCACTGGTCTATAGGCAGGTGCAGGGGACCCCAAACAAGCTCATTCACCGATCATAATTCAATTCCAGATGTGGTACTTAATGACATAGCACAGTGGTTTCCTGACCGGGAAGTCAGAACTGTGGTTCTCAAACTGTTTTTCGCAAAACAAAGAAAATATTTGGATATACTGAAGTAAGAAACTGGAAACCATTCCTGGTTACTCTGAATTCCATCTGTTGTGCTTTTAAATTCTACATATGTTTGCATAAAACCTCAAAGTATGCTATAAATTAGCCCTGTATTATCACACACATATCAACCAGTCTCATAGAACATATTACAGAAGTGTATCTCGTAAAACTGGCAACAATCGTGAAAACCACATTCGTGGAAATACCTTAACAGTAGGTAAAACGAGGCTGATCTATATTGTTGTAATTAAAGTAAAGTAAAGCTATCCCTGTAACAAGCCGTGAAGGCCCATAGGGTTGTGAGACTTTGAGGGTCCCATACTATCTAGACAATCGGCTCAGAGATGGCGGTAACGTCGTCAGCCTTGCGCGCCGGCCCCGCTTTCCTCCCCAGGAAAAATATTTAATTAATTCCTGGTACTCATTTCTGTTAAGAGGTTGAGTCGACGCCAGGGCCATAGTGCAGCCGAAAGGATTAGGTAAATTGAATGACCTCATCGGGAATTTGTAGTTAAAACACTTGCAAAAAGATTGTTACACTGCTGCTACTTGCCAATTTCTTGTGCCGTGTCTTCTTAAACAGCCCGTCCACATCAAGCATCTTGTCGCAGTAACAACATGTCTGAGGTTCCCATTTGTAATTTCGAGTGGCATATTGGATATTGTACTTGAGGTTTTAAACTGTTTTCTTCGGTTGTTCTCAGCGACTCAGTCGGTAACAGTGTGGACAGCCAAAATTCGGTGCCCAGCAGAGGTTTTTTCTGTCCTCCACAGGGTCCAGACCGTCTCTGGGAAGCACCCAGCCTCATATCCAATGAATAAGGGCGGATATTTCCCCGAGAGTAAAGCGGCCGAGACCTGAAGCTGACCTTCATATAGTACCAAGGTCAAGAATAATGTAGCTCTGCCTCCACTCTCCCATACGCTTCACGGCTTGGTGCTTAATTTATTAAGCGCAGGCACAAATTTTCTTTTACGTTGCCTTTCTCAGCTTCCGGCACATTTAAGCAGGATAGAATAGCCTCATCTTGATCTGCCTTTTCAGTTCGTCTCAATTGTCTTCTTAACGTAAGCTTTCAGTTTATGATGAAATCTTCCAAACAGCTTATTTATGCAGTTGACATTTATTAAGCAGGTCAAGGAATTCCGTATCATGGAATTCGTAATATCATCATCATCACCATCATCATCATCATCACCATCATCAAAACGAATCCGCTACAGATCCCTATCCTGAAACAATGCCATTTATTTCACAGCTTCATAATCTGTATTTTGAGATCCATTTTAATACAAACATCCAATATACAAATACCTTGCCAAAGCGGAATTTTCTTCAAAATTTGCAACAAACTTTGGTATGTATTTCTTGTTTCTCCCAGGTATGAGACTCATTCCGCCATTCTGGTCCTTATTGACTTCATCATCCTGACAGTTTCGGATTATTATAAACAAAGCGCGTGTAAAATTACGGGATGGATTCAAGTGGCTCAGGATAAAATGAACGCGGTGACGAACTTCTGGTTTCCAGTAGAAAGAGCAAGTTTTATGAAGTTTTCGAGGATGACTCACTACTGAGGAGTTAGCTGAACAATTCTGAACGAAGAGAACAATTTTTGAAGCTTTTTTCCCCCACATCCAAATAAATGATATTCCACAATTTGTGTACTGGAAACCAAAAGCTAGATAACCGGTGGTTAAGGAACTGTGTTATATCATTCAAATTATTTCTGGGAAACAAAGTAT